TGAACAAAAACTTGTATATGAATATGAATATTCATAGCAGCCCTATGTACAGTAGCTAAAAGATGAAAATAACTCAAATGTCCATCAAGTGATGAATGGATAAACAAAGGCAGTATATCCATACAATATCATTTGGCCATATAAAAGCAAAGTAGTACATGCTACAACATGGATGAACCGTGAGAACAGTATGTTAAGTGAACAAAACCAGTTACAAAAGACCACATATTGTATGATTTCATATACATGTAATAACCAAGCTAGAAAAATCTATAGAGGCCAAAAGTTGATTCACGTTAATAATGACTAGGGGCAAGGGGAAATAGGGAAGTGACAACTTAATGGGAATTTTCTTTCGGGGCCATTTGAAATTAATAATGATGATTGCACAATATTGTGAATGTATTTAATGCCATTGAATTATACACTTTAAATGGTTTAAATAGGGGCTGGCAGGTGGTGTGGTGGTTAAAGATGCTGGATTCCCACATGGTCAACCACGGTTCAAGTCCTGGACCTGGTGGCTTGCTTTCTCATTTTCCATCTGTCTCTCTAATTAAAATGGAAAATAATAATAAATAAAATTAAATAAAATAACTCTAAAAAGTAAAGAAATAAAATTACTTTAATGATAATTTTAATGTTTATTTTACCATGATAAAAGTATAGAGGGATTGACCCCATAGTCTGGTGGTTAAGGGAAGTAGATTCCACATGGCCAACTGCATGGATCAAATCCCAACCCCAGAGGCTTGAAAGATATCCAGGGTACATGTGTGTGCATGCTCTAAACCCCAACAGGATGGAAAATGGAGAAGGTATTACTGTGTGACCATGCCCCATGGTGGGCAGGTGCTTTCTCCCACATTCTCTCTCTCTTTGGCAAGTACACCCAACCTCTGGCAATTAAAAAAAAAAAATCAAGGCCAGCTTTGCGATCTGGTGGTTAAGCAGCCCGATTCCACATGGCTGACCCATGGTTCGAGTCTTGGGCCCAGTGACTTAAGAGACATGTTGGGTGCATGTGTATGTGTGCCCCAAATCCCAACAGTGTAAAGAGAATGGAAGAGAAAGGCTCGTGTTGGGATGGCGCCCCGTGGGAGTGTTCTCTCCTTCTCCTTTTCCCTCTCTGTCTCTCTCTGGCAAGCACAGGAGCCCCACAGGGTGCCAGCACAGCCCTCTGGCAATTTTTCTTTTTAATCAAAAAGTTCACCAAGAGGAGTCAGCAGGTGTCATGGCAGTTAAGGATGTTGGACTCCCACATGGCTGACTGTGGTTCAAGTCCTGGACTTGCCGGCTAGGTTTCTTACCTGCCCCCAACACACACACTTTGGCCCTCTCTGGTCAGATATAAATAAATAAATAGATAAAGTAAAATTAAAAAAAAAAACTTTTTGTAGAGGTTTTTGCTATAGGGCGCGTGCGCTTGCCAGACAGAGACAGACAAAGACAGAAAGTGAGAGATCACTCCCTGGGGGATGGCCATGCCGCAATCCCTTCTCCATTCTCTTCTTGGGATTTTGGGCATACACGCACATGTGTCGGCGTGAGTTAAGCCACCGGGTCCGGGACTCGAATCACGATCAACTACATGGGAGTCCAGCAACATAATCATTATGCCAACTGCTGGCCCCAAAAATTTCTTAAAAAAAAAAAAAAAAAAAGTTCATGCTAACCATTATTATTTTTGATGAGATTTATTAAATGGCACCATTATGAATCATGTTTCAGAGTACAGGTTGCTTTCTATTAATCACTCAGATAATATGAATTGAGCATCTACTATGTGCAAGGCATTGTGCAGGAATAAGCAAAAGATGGTCTCTTCTAGAGACACTAGTTGCCCTTGAGTGAGCAATTCTCCTCTCGAGGTCTTGGGCACACACATACACATGCCCGGCGTGAGTTTAAGCCACCAGGTCTGGGACTCGAACCGTGGTCAGCTACATGAGAATTCAGCGACATAGCCATTACACTAACTGCTGGTCCCAATAAAATAATTCTTTTTTTTATTTATACATTTTTTTTTAATTTTTAATTTGACCAGAGAGAGAGAGAAAGTGAAAAAGCAAGCCACCAGGTTCAAGACTCGAACCGTAGTCGCCCATGTGGGAATCCAGCGCCTCTAACCACCATGCCATCTGCTGGCCCCCCCAATAAAATAATTCTAAAAAAATAAAGTTCGATAAGATAGTGAGAAATCTCCCCATATCCTACACAACCACTTGCATGCCTAACTTACCTAAATATCACTAATTTTGTTTCTTGTAATCTTTCAAGAGCTTGTTTTATGTATATATAAACTAATATGAATATCTATACTTTTCAAATGACAGAAATAAGTTGTGGATTTCTACAAATGGCAGAATACACACAATTACCCCTTCCTTGTTTTGTCTTACTTTTTTAAGGTTTATTTCTTTCTTCCATGAACAAGACAGAGACAAAGTGCCAGCACCTCCAGCATGGTCTCAACACCACGTGGGATCCATCCCCAGCCTCCATCAGCACTTGATCACAGCAAACATGTACCCAGCGTACCCAGGGATCTCCGGACCTTCCAGTGTAGGTGAGCTTCATGGTACCACGCTTTACAGCTGTGCAGCTGTCTGGCCCATTTTCTCTAATTTTTTAGCTCCTTTTTTTTTTTAAAGTTTATTTATCTTTTTCCTGATAGACATCATTGACAATATCTTCACACCACACTCCTCCCCTCAGCCCTGCAGCCAGCCTGACCTATTCAGGTGGATCCAGGGCATGAACCAGAGCCTTCCCGTATGGCTTCCAGAATTGCACAGCAACACTCCTACTGCCTGTACCACCTTGGCTGAACCCTTTTAACTAGTTTTATTGGAGATATTTTTATTCAAAAAAAAATAATTCCCTTGTTCATTTTTTTTTAAAGAAAGAATTATTTCATTTAACTTTATTTATTTTAATTTGGCCAGAGAGGGACAGAATGAGAGAGAATGAGGGAAAGTGAGAAAGCAAGCCACCAGGTCTGGGACTCGAACCACAGTCAGCCACGTGGGAGTCCAGTGCCCCTAACCACCATGCTACCTGCTGACCCCCCCTCCTTGTTCATTTTTATAGTCACATAGATTTTCATTGCAGGGATTCATCAAATCGCACTTACTCAACCCTAATGGTGACCATTTAAATTGTTTCTACAGGGACTGGCAGTTGGCATGTGGGCTAAGGTGCTGAACTCTCACACGGCCAACCATGATTTGAGTCCTGGACCTGGTGGCTTACTTTCTCACTTTCTTCTCATTCTCTCTGGTCAAATGGAAAAATAATAATAACAAATAAAAATTTAATGAATAATTATTTTAAAAAATAGTTTCTGTGATAGCTGTTCACTGTTACAAATAATAATGCACTAAAGTTCTGTATTTATTATTTCCCATGGTGCAAGTGAATCTGTGGAGGCAACTCGCTGGAGGAGGCTGTGCAGGGTCAATAGATAGGGTTCGTTTCTAACACGGGTGGGTATGGCAACATCAGCTCCTTAGGGAATTGCACTAGCTCACATCTCCAGCAGCAGTACATGAGAAAGGCCAAGCTGACTCCTCGTCATGAAGCATCTAGGTCTTCCTGGCCTGGGCCCAGACTCAGGTCCAGACACTGAAGGCGTGTGAGGAAAGGGTGGGGTGGCGAGTCGTTGAACACCCCCAGCCTGCTCCCCACCACCTGTGACCTCAGGCGCAGTATGTAACGGAGCCTCCACCCCTCCCAGAGACGCTAGCCCAGGGTTCAGCCTCAGTGTAACCTCAGCCCTGCTTGCTCTGTGTGCCTGTGGTCACGGAGCTGGAGATGCTGCAGCACAAGGCCCAGTTTTGACTCATCTGTCACAGGTGGGGCCTCTGCCGCCATGCTAGTTCCCCAGGACATGAGATCTCAAACCCACCATCCTCCCTAAACTGGGCCCTGCGCCCTCCTCCCCTCCTCCCGCTGGTGTGAAGACACTTTCAAGGGAGCCTCTCCCTCTCCTCTATAGCCATGTGGCCCTCCTCGGGAACACATGCCCTGTCATCTCCCTCCCCCTTTCTCCCCTTCCTTTTCAAAACTTTGATTACATCTGTTGCTTTTCTCTTCTCCACTTCTTCACAGTTATTTGTTTTACTTCCTTTTTATTTCTGACCCTAACCATAGAATGGCAGAATCTACTCCAACCCTCTCTTCTTACAGAAGGAAACCACAATCCCAGAGCGCTAAGTTCAAGGGCACCCAGTGAACCTGAGGCAGAGCAGGAATTGACACAGGTCCTGCCTCTCGGTTTGCGTGCTGCTTTCTTCCCCTCCAGCCCTGACACCATCGCCATCAGCAGTTGTGTCTTCTCCCCACCAGTCCCAGTGGACTTGACCCTATTCCACCTTCTCTTTCCTTGTGGGGATCTTCTCCAGTGTTCCCCTCTTCCTGGGACCAGATTCTTGTGCCGTATTCCTGGCCTCAATTCTGACTCCCATAGACATTCGATTGCCCACTCAGCAGCTGAGAAACAGAGCCTCTTCCCAACCCATCCAGATCTCCCGAGAAGCAACAGAATCCTCTTAGTCCCAAGGCAGGAACAGAACTGAGCCTCTGGGCCACAGTCTCCTGGAAATGTGGTGTCTGTGGCCAAGATTCCAACTGGGAAGAAGTCTGAGCTCAGAACAAAGCAGTGGGCAGCAGGGGTAAAGTTGGGAGAGCATGACTTTGGTACAACCCTTAGCACATGATGGCATGCAAATGATAGCGCTCATACATCCCATCCCGTCTCCTCTCCTGCTGGCCCCTCTCTTGGGAAATGGATGCAAGGGAGACGGTGGGGGGAGCAGAATTGGAGGAGGGAACAGGGATGGGGGAATCGCAGGGATGCAGGAAGGAGTCAGAGGTTCCCTCAAGTCCAGACAGGATGCAGGAGGTCCAGGTCAGAGCTTTCTTTCCAGAAGGTTGAGACCAGGTGGGCCTGGGCCTGAAAGGAGAGGAGGCAGGAGGGCTGGTGCCCTGGTACTCACAGGTGCGTGCAGAGCAGCCCTTCCTCTGGCAGCAGCGGCAGCTTTGTGTACTGATCGAGGAGACTGCAGAGGAGGAAGTGACACGCCCCGGGGTGGGAGAGACCTCTGGGTGGTAGGGGTGACCGATCTGGGAGAAGGTGGAGCACATAGGGTTGGAGCTGGGCCAAAAGATAGATGATACAGGGGTCTGGGAGAAACGAGCTCGTCTACTGAGCATATGGCGTGTGCTGGATGTGTCAAGTTACAACTAATCCTCATGACAACCTCACCACAGAGGTGGCACATTTTCAGATGTAGAGATTTGAGGCTTAGAAGCAAGAAGTAAAGAACTTTTCCAAGGTCACACAGCTAGTGAGTGGCTGGGTTAGGACTGATTGAAGTTTTGCTACAGGGCAAGTGTGCGCGCTTGCTGGAGACAGAGACAGAGAGTGAGAAATCACTTCTGGGTTGGGGGATGGCCACGCCACCATCCCTTCTCCTCTCAAGATTTTGGGCACACAGGCACCCAGTGCATTTCTCAGGCCACTGGGTCCAGGAGTCGAACCGCACAGTTGGCCATGTGAGATCCAGCCTCCTTAACTTCCACACCACAGGCTGGCCCCTGAGCTGGTCTTTTAAACCCAGGTCTGCCTGCCTCAGAAACTGATGGTCTTTCCACTTCCTCATACAGGAACATGACCATGATGGGAAGGGATAGGGAAGCAGGAAGTAACATGAGGGGGTGGGATTCCAAACGGTTTTTTTGTTTTGCTTTGTTTTGTTTAGTTTTAATTTGCCAGGTGGGATGTGTGCTGATGGGGGTGAGGAGCGAGAAGGCACTCCCCATGGGAAATGGTCACACTATAATTCCTACTTCTCTTGGGATTTGGGGCACACAGGTAAACGTGCCCTGGGTGTTTTTCAAGCTGCAGGTCTGGGACTCAAGCCACACAGTCAGCCCTGTGGGATCCAGCTGCCTTCACCATCACACTACCAACAAACCTATTGTTCATTTTGAAAGCCCAGGGCCCATCGCATCAATGTGCATCACCGTGCGGGCTCCGGAGCCAAACTGCTGGAGCTCCAGTCCTTGCTCTCTCACTCACGGGCATAGGGACCTTAGCTGAGTTATTTAGCACCTTTGTGGTGGTTTGCTCATCTGTGGGATAACTGAAAATGCTTACCAGAGTACCTGGCACACAATAGGGGCTTGGTAAGAAAATCAGGAGGGATGAAAAGCAATGGGGGTGAGAAATGGAGAGACTGTGGGGTCCAGACAGCAGGAAACTTGGAGAGAGAGGCTTAGGACCATTCTCAGAGAACATGATTGGGGGTGGGGAGACAAGACGGTGGCAGAGTCTAGGAAAGGGGTGGTGGAGGGGAACTGGAAGAGGCAGCGTGCAGGAATGACAGCTGGAACTGAGGCAAGGACAAAACCTCCAGGGAGGAGAGGGAGTTGCCTCTGGTCCATACTTGACATTGGGAGCTGAGAAGGAACCAGACACAAGGCCTGTGTTATCAGGTCTGTGTCTCCTATCAAAAGGAGCCCTCGCAGGAAGGGACCGGCCCTACCAGGTTCCCTATTCACTGAACAAAGTGCCCATCCCATAGTGGGTGCTCAGTAAACGTCTGGTGGGTTATAGAAGTGTAGCTGCTGGGAGGAGGCCACTGGGGAAGAGGGAGTTCTTTTGTGGGTGGGCTTCTGCTGGCCCCAGGCTCTAGGACAGCTGGAACCTTCTACCTTCCCCCACAACCAGGGGTTCCTATGGCGACGGCCCCTCCTTCCTCACAGGCCCTGTGGTTTCCTCTTGAGGTTCTTTCATTTTCTTCTTCTGCTTTTCTGCACCCTCTTCCCCTCCCCTACTCCTCCTACACCCTCAACCTCTTTCTCACAGGCACAGGTCAACAGCGAAGAAAACCAGGGACAAGGTAGGCAAGGCACTGTGCGAGGGAGAGCGGGCTGGGAGGGGCTGGAGAGGGAGTCGCAGAGAGTAAAGGGGAGACGGGTAGCGGCCACGGCTTTGCAAAGGGGCCTTGCAGAGAAGTAAGGTACATGGGGGAGGAGAGAAACTGGGAGAGATGGCAATGGTGGGTCACGAGTGGAGTGGGATTGGAGCAGGCAGAGAGCTAAGGTGCTAGCAGGGTCACAGGAGGCAGGAGAGCTCACGGGTGAAGGAAGGGTTGGCACTAAAAAAGCACAGTAGCTCAGGTGCAGGCTGTGCCCCTCTCGGGCCCAGGGACCCCCTGAGAACCAAATGAGACTCGGTGGGCCCTCCTCAGAGAAGAGATAGGCACATATCCGTCACTGGAAGTGGGGACCAGCTTAAAGACCTTCAGCCCCTTCGTGGCCTCGCAGAGATGCATACCTGGCAGCTGTGGAGGACCCAGAAGCTCAAGCTGGGCTCCGGAGGGCTCCCTTGCTCGGCCCCACTCCCATCCAGGCACTGCCATCCCACATCCTTGTTCCCCTAAGAAAGTGGTGAAATCCAATAGATGTGAAACCCACCTTCCTTGCTATCCAAGGCAGCTGGGCATTTCTGCTCCCACCTCCTAGAGGGAGCCACAGCTCACACCATGAGTTTCCATCACTTTATTTTGCAAAAATAGAAAACTCAGCAATATGCGATACAGCGGGGTGAAGGGGAGATGTAAACAGAGGGGAGGGAACAGCACCCTGACCCCCCAGAGAAAAAGGGGAGCCAGTGGGAATCTTATTTGGCAGCTAAATACAAACTGGGGCTGGGGGGAAAGGAGAAATCACAGGGGCCCTGGGCTCCCCCTCCCAAGACCCCTGGAGGAAGGGGTTAATTCCAGGGTGTAAACAAAAGCTAATAAATAAATAGAGGCTTCCTCTGGGTCGAGGCAGGATTCCCCCTCCCTGGGCCAAGGCTAGGCAGCATTCCCCCTCCTTGGGCCAAGCTGCTCTGGGGGTCAAGGGTCAAAGGCACTAGGGGAAGAGGGAACCCCTGGCCCCTCTGTAGTGTAGGAGGGTCCCTGTCCTGATGGCTGAGATGGGGGGAGCAGGAGGAGCCCAAGGCACATGACAGGGCTTGGGGAGGGGTTCGTAACGGAGAGTACAGGGCAAATTGCACCCAAGCAAAGAGGTGCGTATGGACCTGCATCTGTCCCTTTCACCCTCTGGCCTGCGGCAGAAATGCAGGGCCCAGCCTGCCCGCACCTAGACCTGGCATGAGGATGGGGCACAGAGGGCAGGGGGCACCAGGCAGGTGCATCACACAGCATTAGGCACCGAGGGCAGGGGCAAGGGGTGGGCTCAGCCCTCCCACTTTGCCTCCCTTTTGGTCTCTAGTGTTCCTGTTTGCTCCCAAAGGCCCAAGCACCTAGCAGAAGAAGGGGCTGGAATGGCAGGTTCTTCCTCCTGCCTTGGGGAGCCTAGGACCCCAGTATCTGAGGGGCAGTGCTGAGATTTTAGAGTCCAATCCCAGGCTCACCCCTCTGCCCTCTCTCCTGGTGGGAGCAGGGTAGCTCGCCAGGATTGGAGAGGGAACTGGTTAGAGTGGGAAGGGGGTGAACACAGAGGCACCCCTGGAAACTTTGGCAAAAACAAGGAGCTCGTTGGAAGGGGTGGGGAGAGGGCAGAGCAGGTCCTCCCCCAGTCACGGTGGTACCTGGGAGATGGTCAGTCTGCTGCCTGAGGCCCCAACCCCCACAACAGGGAGGTCAGGGGCCCTGGTCAGGCTGGGGACTTTGACCCCCCTTTGCCCTGGTCCCCGGGAACCTCATCCTCACTGGAGGCCTTGGGGTGGGGACCAGGCTGTGAAGAGTCATCCTCAAACATTTCAGGATTCTCCAGCATCTCTCGGATCAGGGGAGGCATTGGGCCTGGAATCTCCATCTTCAGGGTAATGGCCCTTTCTGCTCCTACGAAGGAGACGCAAAGAGGCTCAGGGAGGCAGAGATGCATAGTCTCGAGGCCACTTCCTTAACCTTTCTTGACTGCCCATGGGAGTCTCCAGTACAGGCCTGCCACCTCTTTGTCCTCAGCTCACCTTCTCATTCTAGAGCCTCCAGGTGCCACCCTTCCATCTAGAACTTCTACTTGGTCTCTGCCGAGCCTGCTGCCCATCCATCCCATTCTTCTAGGCTGTTGCTCACAGATCACAATGTGCACCACTTCCAGCCCCACTCCTCAGGCATCACACCTGTTGATGTTTTCTTTTGTTTCATTTTCATCAGAGGGCATGTGTGCTCTCCAGAAAAAGACAGAGATACAGAGAGAGAGGGAGAGGGAGGAAGCACCCCTCATAGACTGTGGTCATGCCACTATCCCTTCTCTCCATTTCTCCATCTTATTGGGATTTGGGACACAAACATGTGCCTAGAGTGTTTCTCAAGCCACCAGGGCTGGGATTTGAACAGCATGGTCAGTCATGTGGGATCTAGCTCCCTTAAACACCAAGACATGGGGCTGGCCCTCTAGGTTATTCTTTTTTTTTTTTTTTCCCAAGAGAGATTTTTGCTATAAGGTGCATGTACTTGCCAGAGAGACAGAAAGTGAGAAAGCAGGAGATGGCCACACCACAATTGCTTCTTCTCCATTCTCCTCTCAGGATTTTGGGCATACATGCACACATGCCCAGCATGAGTTTTAAGCTGCCGGGTCCAGAACTTGAACTGCAGTCAACTACATGGGAGTCCAGTGATGCCCAGCTACGCCATCTGCTGGTCCCATCTAGGTCTATTCTAAATTAACTCTCAAAACAATAGCTAATATATGTGGAACACTTACTATGTCCTAGGCATCCTTCTAAGCCAACTTTGTCCAATAAAACTTGCTGTGATGTTGGAAATACCTGCTTTGTAGTCACTAGCCGCATTTGGCTACCGAGCACTTAAAATGGGACTGACGCAATCGCAGAACTGACTCTAATCCAGCACAGTGCTGAGCACATAGTGGATTAGCAATTTGGTCCTCACAATAACCTCTTGGGGTAGGTGTACAGTCCATTTAACCAAAAAAAAAAAAAGGTACAAAAAGCACTTTTCCCAAAGTCTCCCCACTAATTTGTGGCAGAGGTAAGACTCTAATGGAGGTCACCTGGTTCTCGACCACCCTGTTCCTGTCTCTGCCTGTGCACCTACGTGACCGGAACAACCAGCAGCTCTGGGAAGACAGAGAGGGGAAGCTCACTCGTGACTAACCCTTGGTGCTGATGCCCCGGAGGTCGGTGATTTTCATGAGCATCCTTGGGAACATGTAGGGCTGGCTGGGCCGCCGGCGCCGGGCATACAGCCTCAGGGCTTCCAGCAGTGGCTCCTGCAGCTTGTCTACTTTTTCAGGTTCTTCCAGGTCCATGCGGTCTGTAAGGATAAGCATAGCAGAGTGAGAAGGAAGGAGAACTAGTGGGGGACACAGTGGCAGGTGGCCAGACTTTCTCCTACCATCTCCTCTGCTCTAAGTCCTTTAGTTTCTCCCCTTCAGTAAGAGACTTTCTCTGGTAAACCATCCCTGCCAGATTCCTATCTCAGCACCAGTATTTAGGATCTCCTCAGCTTCCCCAGCCCAGCCCCTTCTCCTTTTCCCTGTATTCAAGGCTGTTGGGAAGCCTGTTCAGAATCTGAGGGCTCTGTGAATAGGGCCAGGTGCAACAACCCCCGAGGAAGAGAACGGAAGGTCTCCTGCTTGGTACAAGGTCAGATATTAGGGGCGGAGTGGGAAAGAAGCTGGAGCCAACGCTAGGGGGCGCCCCCGCACCTCCACAGATGAGGCAGATGGCACTGAGCAGCCCTGTCTCCGTGTCATCCATCTCCAGTGGCAGGAGCTGCCCAGCAAAGGCAAAAACGAGGTCTGTGAGGGGACCGAAGCCAGCGTTGTGCATCTGGGTCCGGTTCAGAGTCAGCCCATCGGAGAAGGTCATGGTGTCCTGTTCTGGGGTGTACCTTGTGCAGATCCGCAGCATCTAGAGATGGGACAGGACAGGGTTAGTGCTGTCTCTGGGACAGGATGCTGGGAGCACCAGCCTCTCACAGGGGCTCATAAGGAAGTGGAAAGCGAATCAGGTCCTGAAAGTGTGTGACCTGAATGAAGCAGGTATGGGAGGAAGAGAGAGGTGGCTTGGGGAGAGGAGGTCCTGAGGAGTCAGAAGAAGACAGGGCATCCACAAGTCTAGAATCAGGTCATAGGGAGGGGCAGGGGCTAAGAAAAAGAGCTTGGGGGGTGGGGGGAGGCAGCCTGTAGCATGCCAGTTAAGCACTATGCAGCTATACAGAGAAAGGCAGGATGCTACATGGCTGGCCAGGGTTTGAGTCCTGGCCCAGTGCCTTGAAAAACACACATGTACATGCCCAGGATCTTAACAGGATAGAGAAAAAGGACTGCAGCACGACTAGGCCCCATCATGGACCTGGTTCTTGAGATCTCAACCCGTCTCTGTGTCTCTCTTAAATGAGCACATGCCCTCTGACATTAGGAAAAACCAAAACAAAACACCTTGAATAGAGATCTGGGGAGTCTCAGATGAGGTGATCTAGGACATCTCTGCATGGATTAAGGAATTGTTGGGGTCTCATAAGAGGGTCTAACTAACCAGGATGTCCAGGCAGGCAGCTTTGAGCAGAGTGATCTGGTCCGCGATGCTGAGCCCTGTAAAGCCAGGCAACCGCTTGGCAAACTCCACAATCTTGATGATACACTTGGTGGCCAGCTCACTAAACTTGTCCCACAGCCCCAGATCCAGCTGCACTCGGTGGTCCGCACTGGAGTTCTGGGGGCACGAACAGAGGTTAGATGCAAGCCAGGTCCACCCTTGGGGGCTTCTCTCTGTGACACCCTGAGCTCTCCCCTCAGCCCGCTGATGTCCTCCTTGTCCTCAGCACTAGACCACAGCCTGCACATAACCCCTACCCATTCCCCAAATAGTCCCTTGCCCTCACTGGGGCTCCGCCCACTCCTCACCGTGGTATACTTGCCCAGCTGGCAGAGCGAGGGGAAGGTCTCCTGATGGGCTTTGCTGACCTTGGTGATGAGCTCTTCTAACTGGGGGCTGAGCTCATAGCTGTCCGATGACCCTTCTTCCTTCACCTCTTTCTTCTTCTTGTTCCGGTCGTTCCGCACAGCTTAGGGGTGGAGGCACGAGGAGCAAATCAGAGCCTCCCTTTGGATGTTCTCTCACCCTAATGTGCTCAGTCCTTAGCCCAGATATCTCCATTCACTGGCACCCCAATTGATGCCTCAGTTTCCCTGTCTCCTACATTTGCTCCTATTCCCAGGCTGGCTCTCCTCAGCCCCACCCAGGGCCTGCAACCCCTGCTCCCTCTCCAGGCCATTCGACTCCATCCTGCCCTTCCTGTCACCCTGCAGGAGCTGGGGAGTGGGGGCAGGATATGCAGGCGGCAGGATATCCAGTTATAGCCTTGGCAGCACAATGGGGGGGATGAGGGGAGGGGCCACCCAGATCCATCTCAGGCTCCTTCCTAGGAACAGGGGAGGGAACCAGCAAGACCACCGCCCTCTAAATACCCAGTCACTCATTCAGAGGAAGGGTTTAGCTCCAAGAAAGAGGGGAGAATGGGAAAGGGCGGGGCCTCCTGGGTGAATGGAGCTAATCAAACAGGACTGGGAGGAGGCAGCACCCCAGGGCAGCACGCAGGTCAGGGAAGTGGTGGCCAGAGCCAGAGGGAAGAGGTGGCAACCACAAGGCGGGACAGGCGTGCTCCTGCCCAGGCCAAGGATAGGAACCTACCTTCCTTGGACATGCCCACTTCGAAGCACTTCTGTAGCCGGCAGTACTGACACCGATTCCTGGTCACCTTGTTGATGATACAGTTTTTGTCCCGATGACATGTGTACACCATGTTCTTCTGAATGCTGCGGCGGAAGAAGCCCTGAAGTTGGTTGGAAGGAGAGAGTGAAACAAGATGCTGGGAGTACCAGCCTCTCGTAGGCCTTGCAGATTGCCCCAAGCCTGACCCAATCTTGTGCAAAGCAGCCCCTTCCTACCTCACACCCCCCAGTCATACACAATACCAGTGTCCCTAGTCTCTAATCTTATCCAGGTAATTCTTTTTTTTTCTGTTCTTTTTTTTTTTTTTTTTTTTTTGGGGGGTTTTTTTTATATGGCCCGTGGTGTCCGCAAGATTCTCTTCTTGGGACCTTGGGCACACATGCACACACCCGGCGTGAGTTTAAGCCACCGGGTCCGAGACTCAAACCGCAGTCGACTACATGGGAGTCCAGTGACATAGCCATTACACTAACTGCTGGTCCCTTAACCAGATAATTCTGAGCCCCCAGTCTGCCCACCACCACCATGTACACACCTTGCAGCCTTCACAAGAGCTGACCCCATAGTGGTAGCCAGAGGACTTGTCATTGCACACGAAGCACGGCTTGTAGACCCGAGGAGGTGGAGGGGGTGAGGGAGAGCTGGGCACCATCTCCTCTGAGCTAGTGCTCTGTGTCTCCACCGCTGGGGGAGGGGTGAGGAACAGCAATGTGAGAGTTTGGAGAGACAGACCCCCCCAGAGACCTCCAGGCCTCCTCCTCAAGCCAACTTTTTCCACTGGCCCATCGGCAACAGCCACCACCATCAGAGTACACAGTCCAGCAACCGTGTACAGCCCCACAGTAAACACTCCAAGAAACCCCTGAAATGGCCTCGGCGACTGCAGCTGACTTTGAGCCGAGCCCACCCCTCACAATCCAGCCAACTCCTCCACCATGATGCCAGCCTGAGTCCTACGTGAGTTGTCACTTCTCCGAATTCCAGACCAAGCCCATCCTGTAAGTAAATGTCTCTGGGCCTCAGTTTCTCCAGCTGTAAAGCAGGTGTGTAAAACTCTCTAGGCACGCCCTGTCACCTTGGTAGACCTTTGTAAGATAGTATACCTCCCACCACCTTCCTCCTCATGGGGAAATACGACTGGAGGCAGGTAGACAATTACAGGCCACCTGTAGCTGGCTCCTGGCTACATGACTTGCTGGGATACGTAGAGGGTAAAATACAGGATCTCGTTTTTCCTCAAGTAGAACAGGGCAGATAATCCTCCAGGCTTTTCCTCTCATACCACCCCTACCCCAAATTACCATCGAAGTCCTTGTTCGAGAAACCACTGAGACAGTAAAACAAATGGGTATCAGGGGAATAGGTTAGAAGCCTTATTTTTGCACCTGAAGAAACTAAAGCCCAGAGACAGGAAGTGCCCAGCTCAGTTTGTCACTCGGTACCACACTGTCACTGATGGTAGAACCAAGGCACTCAGGTCCTCGGACTGGATCTAAGTGGCCAGGCATCAAAGAAGCTGGGGAAGGGGAGACTGAGGTATTTGCTCTGATTCTCAGGTCTAGAAGCTGTGGGGGGTGTAGCAACCAGAGGAGTCAGGTGGCTGTGGGTAAACAGGGCTGATGGGGGAGGAGACCTAGCTCTGGAGCCTTTCTGAATTAATGTCTTCACTTCTAAACAGTTTCTGAAAATAGTCAATTGCAGCTCGAAGGGAACTCAGCTTATGCCCGGAGCATGGGGAGGATACCCTCTGTTCAGGAGGCTGCTGTGTAAATCTCATGTGTGTATGTATGTGTGATTGATCTTCAGAAGCTGGGAACATCTGTAACTTAAGTCAACCTGTAGGATCTGTTGTCCAAACTGGAGAGTCCAAGTTAATGCAAGAAATCCCTATGAATCTACCTAAGGAGTGCCCCACACACCCACCTCATGGACACCTTCTTCCTTTTAACCATCTTTAGCCCGCCTGGTAGGAAATCCTCCCTAATGCAACCAGGACAGAAGGAATGCCCAGGACACCGGGGTTCCAGGCTAGCTCCACCCACCCCACAGGAGGGAAGCCCTCCCTGCCCCACAACACACACATAATCAATTAGCATAAGAATCTGGCAGGAGTGGGATTCCCTACTGCAAAAGGAAAGCACGGAGGGAGGAAAGAAGGGTGACTGGAGTCTATTCAAGATTGGGGGCGGAGACTCCAGGAGGGGCTGGTGCCAGAGAATGGGGAGGGCTGAATGCCCCTGACCCTCTCCTCACTCCTCAGGCCCACCAGGTGTCCCCTCAGGGTCGAGTTCTGCCCACTGGCCTGCATGTGGGGCGGTGCTTGCTCGGGTGCCTAGGCCCTCCCTGCCCGCAGAACGCTGCCTCATTTCCTCTCTTGCGAAAGAGCCTGGGTGTGGTCAGACTGGCATGGGCAGTGCAGGCGAAATATAAGACTGGGGGCCTCAGAGAGACTGGCCCAGGGGCAGTTTTCCCATCTGAGTGGTGCTGTAACCCATTCTCAATGCCCCTCTGGCACACCCTGCCCCCTGAACCTTAAAGCCATCCAGTGGCTCTGAGGTCAATCCACCAGGAGAGGGTTTCTGGAAGCGAACTGGGTCCACTGGATCTGGTCCCCTGCTCAGCCCTGGACTGAGACCTCACCATAGGATGCTGCTCCTAGGCTAGGCAGGGGCCCCTGCTGGGGAGGAGGGGATGGGCTCTGGGTTTTTCTCTGTTTAAAGCCCAAATTGCTGAAATTGAGGAAATTCCTGGCCAGGCTGAGCGGAGCTTCAAACAAACTCTTTATAACCGGCTGTAAACGCTCCCAGCTGCGAGGCCCAAAGCAGAGCAGCCCAGGCTCACAATCTAGCACACACCTCCTTGGAGACACACATTCTCACAGGTCGACAAGACACAGCCACAAAAGCAGGCATACTAACAATACCCCCCCATAAACCTGTCTGGATTCTGGCACACGGGGACACAGGGCACAGAAGCACCTCACTTCAGCCACACTGTGGAGGTGGGCTTACAAGGCACAAGGCCGACCCACAGCACGCAGACCAAGCACCTGGGCTACACACTGATACTAATTGCTCCACCATCAAACACTACGCAGCCTGCCACCCCAGCACCAGAACACCAAAGCCTCCAAACTGGCACCAACACAGCCTGCCCTCTTCTCTAACCCACGTATGTATCCTCTGAAGGCGTGTGGGGACAGGCCTGAAGCAAAAGCTGATTTGTATGCCACCAGGACGGGAGAGGCCAAAATTACTGGTCCAAAACTGATATGCAGAAACATACTACCAGTCAAGTCCAAACCGCGCCCACACCACAGATAAAGGACAGGGTCTCTGGCCACTCCAAAACACCCTACCTGGGATATTCCCTGCGCTTAAGCACAACTCCCCCAACCCCCAACATAGCCCAACTCCCTATCCTATTGGACAATGAGAGACAGGTTAAGAATTCACAGGGATTTGGCGCAGGGCAATAGTTCCAAGTTTTTTTCTCCTTTAAATGGCACAACTTTAATTCTTGCCCCACCCCACCCCAAAGTACGGTCTCCTGTTTGCCACCTCTCTCTTCTACTCTCCCAGTGCTTAAATCTGAGCAGCTCTGCCCTGGAACTAGAGAGGGAAAAAAAAAAAAAAAACCGAACTTGTAAACAGCGCTGCCGAGTGCCAAGCAGCGAGGCGCGTTGGCGGGGGCTGGGTGACCCGGCGCGCGCACTCCCCCAGCGCCCGCCGCCCCGCCCGCTGCCCGC